AAGAAAAGCTAAACTATAACATGTACAGAAAGATTGGAAGTCCACTGTAGTCATACCGTACCGTAGTGAAACATCGGAAGAAATCAAACGGATCTTAAACAAGCATGATATAAGAGTGTATTTTAGAACATGCGACACTATAACATCGTCATTGGTGAAGGTTAAGGATAGGTTACCAAAGGAAGAACAACAAAATATTGTCTATGAGATCAATTGTCATGATTGTAATGCGGCTTATATTGGAGAAACATCCAGACAATTGAAGGTAAGGTTGAGGGAACACAAAGTGTTTAAAAAATGTTCCCAAAACCTCGGTTGACTTAAGGAAACTTGAGAATAAGTCTGTAATAGCGTTACATGCGTTGGAAACGGGATACATGATTAATGTTGAAGGGAACAAAATAATTCAGAAAGCTTTCAACACTCATAAAGAAAGATTGACAGCAGAAGCGCTGTATATATGGGCGAATAAGAACAGCCTAAACAGAAAGGATGGTATTCAGCTAGCTACCACTTGGCAAATATTCATCAACAAGTAATTTGACCTTTTCTTCTTTTATTCAACCTGTTTACTTCACATGAATCGTTATTATGACTGAAATCAATATGAGTTATGTTTAACATTACAATTTATGTACTTGATGACGATTCTCATTTTATTTGCAACTTCGATGATTCAGAAAGGAGAAAAACTTTTCAACCTTCATTATGCACGTTTATTCCTATTTTACTTCACATAGAAACATATCAACACTGTATATCAGTCATCATTAATAACTCATCTTACACATACACATACAAACACATGGTTTATGCAGTCTCCTTTAATTCACATCGTTGAACTTTTCACTTGATTCTCATTCAACTCACTCATTTTATCCTGTTTACAAGAAAAATATTTGACATGCAAATATGATTGGATTAAAAAGTAGTAGAGATTTTGATGATATGATTGTTAAGCTAAAAACACTTTGTATATTTAAATACAACTTAGTATTGTTTAATTATAGAAGGGGTTTTGTGGAGATTTAGTATTTATCATTGTTGAAAGCGTGAGTCAATTGAAGCTAGACCACCATGGAAAACCTGGAAACACTGGACGGCCGTTTCGTCCTATTATGGGACTCCTCAGTAGCAGTGAGCATCCATGAACCTGCTCTCGCGAGCGAGATTCGAACCCAGGACCTACCAGTCTCACTGCTGAGGAGTCCCATAATAGGACGAAACGGCAGTCCAGTGTTTCCATGTTTTCCATGGTGGTCTAGCTTCAATTGACTCACGCTTTCAACAATGATAAATACTAAATCTCCACAAAACCCCTTCTATAATTAGTATTGTTTGTTTGAATCTTCCCATCGATTTGTTAGGACTGCAACTGGTCAGTCTCTAATTGGCATATGTGCATACTGTGCGTATTGCCTCGATATACCTTAATTCACAAGCATGGTTAGCAGAGATGGATAGTGGCTAGCAGTGGAATCCAGGACGCGCGTTTCGTCCTATTTGGGACTCGTCAGCTGGATTCCACTGCTAGCCACTATCCATCTCTGCTAACTTTGTATATTTCTTTGATGATTTTGATGATTTCCCTGAAGAAGTCCAGACAAGTTAGCTGGACGAAACGTTTAAATTACCGTTTAAATTTCAATCGCTGAAACTATTTCAAATATAATAATTTTTCACATATAATGGAAACTGACAAGTTTTTTGTATTTGGTGGCCCGGTGCTTTAATCCTCATTAATTCACTTTATTCGTTTATGTCTGTAGGTTTTCCAATCTTCATATATGTGTCCGATCTAAAGTAGTAAAAACTGCTTTTTGTTGATGAATTATCTTCTGATAATTTCAGGGATTGCTAAAAGTCGTTATATTTGTTTATTAAACACTTATTTAACCGTTAATTTGCCTTAGCGTCAATAAGAACTTCAGTCAACTTGCTTATTGGTAAGACTTAAGTGTTTCCTGGTCAGTCAGTTCTAAGTAGAGCAAATGTTTTTTTTCTTCTTAGAATTCATAGATTTTCATCAGTAATTCTCAATGAATGTGTTTTAATGGTCTTTTGTTGATTTCATTTAAAAGTCGAAGATAATTGCAAGTGTCCTACCTAAGTTTATATATTCTCTGTGGCTTCCACAAATCTAATGACTTCTCCTCTTTAGTAACGATGACAGAAATACTTGCCCGGACAGATGCAATAAGTACACAAAAAGCAATCGAACAGGAAAAACGTGCTGTCGAACTTAGTAATAACTCCTATGCACTCACCACACTCTTTCAAAATAAACTTAAACGTTCTAAGTCGAAAGGAAACATATTTATTAAAGACAAACAAGTATACGAAGATCCTAAACTTGTTACGGAACTATTTAATGAACACTTTTGTTCTTTATTAACTGATGAAAAACCACTTAATGATTCAGAACTTATCACAGCATCTGCCTGTGAGATTACTAACGTAGACTTCAATGTACAGAATATCTATAAGGCAATTAATACATTGAAACACTCCTACACTGATGGACCAGACGGTATTCCGGCTAGCATGCTAAAACGTGGAGGCAATGATATGTGTGTTTTATTACTCAAACTATTTGTGATATCACTCTCTACAGCGCAATACCCTACTGCATGGAAAACTACACACATTATTACCAAAATTAAAACAGGACCTGAAGCGAATGTTGAAAATTACCGACCCATAAAGATAACTTCAGTGGTGTCCAGAGTGATGGAAAAAGTAGTTAAGACGGCGGCAGTGCAACATTTAATTACTAATAATCTCATCTCGGTCTCCCAACATGGATTTCTTAGGTCCAGATCATGTGATACATGCCTTGTGGATTACATTAATAATATAACTCTGAAACGAGACAATGGACTCCTTGTATCAGTCATATTTTTAGACTTTAAGAAAGCTTTCGATAAGGCTCTACATAAAAGAATTCTAGTCAAACTACAGTCCTTCGAAATCGACAACCCACTCTATTCATGGTTTGTTTCATTCTTAAAGGGACGTAAACAAATGGTAAAGTACAACGACTGTCTCTCATTACCTAGACCAATAACTAGTGGCGGCATCCAGGGAAGTGTATTAGGCCCACTTTTGTTTCTCATGTATATAAACGATATATGTAACATCATAAAATCTGGGAAACCATACTTATATGCTGATGATCTCAAAATAGTATACAGCTATAAGCCTGAGGTTCTAAGTGAAAGTGTACCCCTGATTCAAGATGATTTCAATAACCTAACTATCTGGAGCGAAAAGTGGCAATTACCATTTAACCTCCACAAATGCGGGATCATGCACTTTGGAAAGCACCCCTATCAACCACAACTTTACTTAAATAAAAGTAAAGTCCAGACACTTAATTCAGTACACGATCTGGGAATTAATTACACAGGAAGCCTAAACTTTAAAGCACACGCCTCCTCTATTATTTCTAAAGCTAAACGTTTAATTGGCTTCATAGCGAAAAATTTCTTCACGACAGATGCTAAGCTTACCCTTTACAAAATATGTGTACGACCTTCTCTAGAATACTGCTCTTTTATCTTCTCTAATATGAATACCACTGACAAAATAAGAGTAGAAGATGTTCAAAGACGCTTTACACGCCAACTGCTAGGAAGTGACCCCACTCTCGATTACACAAGTAGATGTAAGCAACTCTTTTTAGAATCTTTATGGCACCGTAGGTTAACGAACAATCTGATATTTCTCTACAAAGCAATAAATGGACTGTCATTCCTAACCTCCTGCCCAACTATGATCAATGACCCAGCCTATAGACTAAGAAACAATGCGTACACACTATTTACCGTAAAATACACCAAAAGCAAATGCGTTGTAGTTTTTTTACAGTTCGGTATAGTTTATTGTAGAACAGGTTGCCAATACCTATCCGTAACTGTGACACCTTTACCAAGTTTAAAAGGCTAATAACCCTGTTACTAAACTCTAAAGAACTTTAACAACTATTCCTTGAACTCCCGCCTACCAACGAGGCACTTTATTATGGACCGCCCAATATCTAGACGGAACACGAATATAACGAACCCCATTGTCGTTAGTATGAATATAGCCAAACCAAAGAAAATATGCTTTATCCTTCCCCACTATTTATTGATTATTAACCATGGCCTTCTGCTCCTAACCCTCATTTTCAGTTTCCGAATCTCTCTGATGGTTAAAACCAAATTATTCTCCCTAAGTGTCATGTCCTTTTATTTTTCTTATTATAGATAGACAGATAACTCACTAATCTTATGGATGCTCATCAACTAAGGCCGATCAAAAGAAGCTCATATGTCCTAAATTCTTGTGAGTTGTTCAATGTTTTATTTCCTTACCATGAAAATTTTACAATATTCTCTTTCATATCCTCTGGTTTGCTATTACCCAAACAACCAATAAAGGGGAACAAAGGGGAAATAAAGCGAAAAATGAATTGGAAAATAAGTCGTAAATAAAGGGAAGATGCGCCAAAATGTCCGCTTTTTCGCCTGTCCGGGGGAAATAAAGCGGAATTTCCGATAATTCCCCTAAATATCCGACGAGTAGCCTACTTTTCCCATAAATATCAGACAAATAGCCGACTTTTCCTCTAAATATCCGACGAATCGCCGACTTTTCACCTAATTATCCGACTTTCACCCTAAATATCCGACGATTTATACCTTAAATATCGTACGAATTTCCGACTTCTACCTTAAATATCCGCTACATTGACTACTTTTTCACTACATACACACTAATACATTTACCGCAACCGCCTCCTGTGTTCGCTTTTATTCCCACAACACAGCACACGAGTAATGTAAAGTACGTAAAATATGGTATAATTTCCAAATTTTTATTGAAAACAAGAAGTTCTTCTATGTACAAAGTTATGAACAGTTGGCAGATGGTAGAGTATCAATGCTCAATATGTAATTGTCATTGTCACGGACCAGGCATTTCAGGTTTTCTTTCTTTCCACCAGGCCTGTTGGACTATGGAGAGTCAAACAATTCTTGTGAATTCTAAAATGTGATGAAGAAAAACGTTATTAAATCTAGGAAACTTGTTTTGCACAACAAGGTACTTGAAGCTGAACTTACGGTAACATCCTTGAACACGGAAGACTGTACCTATAGATAATGCAAAAACAGTAATCACTTTAAAGCCGTACATACGTGTTCTTTGTTCCGTCGATGACGCTTCTGGACTCTGTCTCTCATGTCGTGGAAATAACTTTGCGTAGCCATATCATATAGTTTCGCAAGGTCTTTCTCGTTGATAGATGACGAAAGGAAACGATTAGTCAGTGCACCTGAAGTTTAAAAACCTTATTTATCTTACTTCGTACGCAGCTGTAAAACCTGCACTTTTGAATCGCTCGTTTTGATGAAGTACCCAGTAGCGTGAAATTAATGGCGACTTCCGGTTTCATGATGTAGGACAGAATATATCGCATAGAGGTTTTAGGATCATCATCCATTAGACGTGTCAACATGGCCATCTGTAATAGGAATGAAGGATAAAAATCATGTTGTGTGCTTACAAATCTGTCCCTCACGTCTTTTTGCTCTAGACAAGCGTCCAAAGTTCCCAGTTCCTCTTCAGATGACAAAGGGAACTGTTGGCTGGATAGTCCACAGTCAAATTGACGCGGATCTTGGCGGTCACTGAACCTTGAGAGTACCAGCTTCATATTTGTATTCAGTTCACTAATGCTTGCTGACACTAAGCAACAAAGTATAAATTCTTTGAAATCTGAAAAATAGAAGTAGATCGTAGGGATGACTTACTGAGCAGTTAGATTTTTATCCTCGGATGCGGAGGGCGAGCTGTCTAATTGCGTAATAGACACGTCCAAATGAAAGATACTTACTTGGCGATGGGAGAGACAACCTTCTCAAACATCCGAAGTTTTGGATATTGGACGCGGCTATTCTCAGTCTGCATCTCTGCGACATCTATGTCCACGGAGTTGTAAAGAAAGCTTTCTTTACGTTTTAATGCACTTCTACTAAATGTAAGTAAGATTGTTGAACTGATCTCTTTTGTTTACACGTACCATTATCTTCCAGAAGCCTTTCGTTGGTACAGCTTGTAGGTAATATAGTTGAAGGAATCTCATGGCAATTACTTTTTCTGTCAACTGACATAGTTTCTACATATATAGGTGTTAAAGTCAGTTACCTGTAGTTGTGCTTTCAATAGCAAAGTTACTAAACGAAAGCAAGTCATGTCTCCTCAGAAAATCGGTACGCAATTTATTCCAACGTCTGTTATAAGTAGATCTATGACATCCGAGGACTCGTGACAAGTTCACGGTTGCCCTACGTCTACGAGCTCTTTCACTGACTTGGCTTAGACTCATGTTATAAGACTAACAACGTAAACAGTTAGAATGAACTAAAATAACAGAGATCACATCACTCACTTGTATCGTGTTGTAACACGTGGAATCAGCAGTTAGAGGACAGCAGGACAGATCTGAAAAACAGCACAGCACACAACGTTAAACGAGGACTTCACACCAAGAGAGAACACAGTGGAAATCACGAGCCTCTTTATTTCAAAATCAAAAAGCGCGGTGCGCGAGAGTACAGCGGGAAGAGTCAGTTTACAAAGTAGTCTTATGAGTCATCCTGTAAGCTTAGTGTACATAGGGCTTGCTCTTCTTCCTCTAAAATGTTTATGTTTGGTCGCCCTGCAACAGAAAGAAAATAGAATGCATTAGTATATCATACATAGCAATTTCAACTCCGTTACACCGCCCCCTCTCTTAAATAGGCACTGTTGTAGCTGTAAATAATTCCCCAAAATCTATAGCTCATTAAGTGTTCGACATTGGATGCTGACCACGTTGTTTAAGTGGACTTGTTTAACTGTAGGCTTTCGGTCATGCATCCGCACCAGATCACGTTTCAGCTCAGTGTGGGACACTGCTCCTACGTTTCATTAGCCAGCTTATAGTAAAGGTTCCTCGATATATTGGTAACGTATCAGATATATCTTTCCTACCTCTTCTCGTGTGACTTCTAATTTCCTCTGGCCGGGAACGATCGATTATAGAAGATACTACTGGTTGCTAGTTGTAAAACTAGAGTATCCGTTGTATCCTCACTGTCCTCAGTGCCTGGTCTCGGACATGGATATGCTGTCCCCCCCTTCTGATGGTACCTCATAAGACGTAGTGGCAGGCGGTGGATTGGCGAACTGGACATCCGATGAAACTGTAATCCTATCTGGTTTTATTTGGTTATAGTGTACAGTTATCACGTCAACCTGGGGTCGTTGCAAGTTACGTAATACGAACGTAGTGGAGGATCGGATGAGGACGATTTCAAAGGGGCCTTGCCAGGGCTGGTGGAATTTACTGCAACTCCATGACGATGTCATGGGACGACGCAGCCGAACGCAATCACCGACCTTATACACTTGTCCGTGCACCCAACGATCGTACAAGTCCTTTTGATGTTCACTAGCTTTGCGCAAATTGCTGTTGACCAAGCGGTATACATCAGCTAAGCGGTTACGAAGAGTACGTATGTACGGTACATGCTCTTGTTCTTCGCAGGGCAGCAGGGGCGTCTGTATCTCCACTGGTAGGCGTAATTCATGCCCGAATAATAAAATAGCGGATGAAAACCCGGTGGAGCCATGTAACGATGTACGATATGCTAAAAGACACTGAGGAAAGACATCATCCCATAACTCCTGCGACGATCTGCTCACAAACGCTTGCAATATGGCTTTAATACTTCCGTTTGTTCTTTCTACCAGCCCGTTACCTTCTGGGTGATACGCAGTGGATCGTGTCTTCCTGATTCCCAATAGCTGGCATATCTCGGCGATGAGGTGACTTTCAAAGGCTGGACCTTGATCAGAATGAAGTGAGAAGGGGGCGCCATAGCAGGAAACCCAATGATCGATGAAAGCTCGGGCAACCGTAAGAGCGTCTTGCTGGGGAAGGGGTACTGCTTCGCACCATTTAGTAAAGTAATCTACCATAACCAGTATGTAGCGATTCCCTTTCTTTGTTGTTGTTAATGGTCCCATGATATCTATGCCGACCCGCTGATGTGGTCCTGTGGTCACCATCGGAGTTAACTGTACACGAGGTGTCTGTCGAGGCGATTTGAAACGGCAGCACGTGTTACAATTTTTGCAAATTTGCACTACATCTTCATGCATGGATGGCCACCAAAAGCGCTGGCGGACCGCGTATTCCGTCCTTCGTTCTCCTGCATGACCTAGTTCGCGGTGCACCTGCTCCACAATGCTCTCAAATTTTATCCGTGGTACTACCAATAGAGGTTGTCTCGCTTCGTTAATTAAGAATAACGTGTCACCATATAATTTTAGATTGCTCCATTCACTGCAAATACGACGAGTTGTTAGTGATTGATCCTTTAACTCTTTCATGGATGGTTTATTGTTTCCCTGTAACTGTCTTTGATATATGGTCTGCATGTCTGGGTCTGCTGCCTGCAGGGAAGGCTAATCGATCTCTAGGGCTGTGCTAAGAGTTGCATTAACAATACCTGAGGTTTGAGGTATGCGGGGAAGAGCGTCTGCGTTTGTATGTTGGCTTCCAGGTCGGTACTCGCATGTGAAATCGAACTCTTGTAGTCGTTCTTGCCAGCGTGCCACTTGCCCCTCTGGTTCGCGGAAGGAGCGGAGCCATTGTAATGCACGGTGGTCTGTGCGTACACGGAAAGGTTTACCTAGTAAATAATGGCGGAAGTTTTGTAAGAATTTTACCAATGCTTACATCTCTCGACGCGTTGTCGAATATCATGTTTCGCTCTTATCCAGTCAACGGCTAGCGTACGCAATGACTCTTTCTTGCCCATCTGGGGCCACTTGTGATAGAACTGCTCCGCTTTATTTCCCCCGGACAGGCGAAAAAGCGGACATTTTGGCGCATCTCCCCTTTATTTACGACTTATTTTCCAATTCATTTTTCGCTTTATTTCCTCTTTGTTAGGCCAACTTCACATGTATTTATTTTCCACCATAATTTGCCTCCATAATGTGCGCCAAGTGTGATTATGACATGTTTCTGACGAAATCCATTTACATTCATATCAAAATATCAACCCAGCTGAGTAATTTTGAACAGGGAAAATTGTAACTTCTGTAAGAATTTGGTCTTGCCTGAAAACCGGCATGTCTCATGTAACATACAGTTATTTGAGAATAAATTATATTTATTATTATTATTATAACAACGTAATAGTAAATGAATTCAATTATGTGTAGTATTAAGAACATGTATTTTATTCATGTGTACACTGAATAGGAGAAAATTAATGAATGATGGAGTGAATAAGTAAAGTATTATAGTTCGGTTACATATCGACCAGCAATATATGAAGTTGACTTGGTTTTGCATAAAACATGTAAAAATAGGTATACAAGCATATACATATGTATATGTTTGTATACCTATTTTTATATATTATTTTTATATTTTATATTATTATATTATTATTTTTATATATATTATCAAGTACACATGTATGCAAACATTTAGGATTAAAAGTAAGAAATTACCGAAGCCATGTTACAGAATAACTATCAAAAACAAAATGAATTACTTTTTCATAAGTTAAAATATATCGAGTAGACTCCCCAGTTCCCACAGTGAATTTATTAAAATGTTCTACTGGTAGTCTTTACCTGTAAAACTTTGTCTATGATGGTGATCAGGCAAGACAACCTGCTTGGACATCTAGACTACCTTTTCCCAGAATCCAGATATTCCAACAACTGACAGAAGTGTTCCGTTACACAGTTCTGATAACTGTATTATTTGTGTTCTACTTAGAGTATATTACAAGCTCGGAAAGAGTACACTCCTAAAACAAAGAAAGTGAAATACAGGAATTACTCAGAAGAAAATATCAAAAATCTAAAAGACATGTATCGTACGAAAAACTGGAAGTTATTTACAGCTGATGTAAGTTATTTCCATAACCAACCAATCAAATCGGTGCTTAAGCTCCCAAAATGTCAATCCGATCTGATGTGTCTGTAGACTATTCCCGTGGCATGTGACCTGCCAATTGAAGGAAATTATTATCCTATTATATTAGTGTGACTAATAATTTTGATTCATTTCGATAAGATACGCAACGCCGTTCGGTATTTTTATGCCTTCCACTTAATGACTGCCTTGAAACTTTTTGCCACAGTCGAATGAGGACCGTCAGCGGTCCCTAAAGATTTTTAAATCATTGTCAATAGATGGTAAGGGAAAATATTCTCTAGCAGCTAGTGTCATCTATCATTGCAATTCTCCAGAAGAAGCACTAGAATGCATTCATACCCATTATTTATCTCTCAGATCAGTCAATTGAAACATGTAGATGAGTGAAGAGGAAGTTGGTAAATCAAAATAATTTACTGCTTTTATCACACCATGACGTCATCAGGGTAAAAAAGCATTACTCATCTCATCATGCATGGAAATTCTCGGGAATCAAGAGTACAAGACTGACGATCTAGTAACAAGTTTTACAGTACTCAACTAAGTACTGGCTTTGAATATGGTATTTTTAGATGACTTACACTTTAAACCGGAGACCAGAGAGAAGCTCTCTCATCTATTTGAGTGAAAAAACTAACGATTATACAGCACTCCAGTTACAGAGAAAGCTTGTTATATAAAGTTTTATCGAAGGCTTTCTTGAAGCT